CCCCAAAACCCCAAAACCCCGCTTAAACTATTAATTAATATTTGGAAAAACTATAAATCAAAATTCATGACATTTCTTACGATAAATTAATTTTTTATAATACCTACGTCTTCGATTTGTACTTCTTTATATGTTCAATTAATGATATCATTCTTCTGTATCATTTTTCATAATGGATTTTTTTTGAAGATTATTTTTACGCCATTTTTTCATTAATCATTGAGGATAGTTAAATGTTGGAATTTACTTGAGCCTATTATATTCTCTAGGGTATATAGTTGAATACAAATTGCATAAGGGCAGCTGAAAGCAATACCAAACACTAAATATCATTAGTTGTTCTAAAATTTGTCCATTCATTCACATATCCTCCGAAAAGAGGTCCACCAATACTACCAAGAGCATATGCTGAGTTGAAAACCCCTGAAACAATATCTTAGACTTCTTAAGGATTAAAATTCTTTCCTTTGTGAGCAGACAAACAATATTCTAACTCTGAATAAGGAGGAATTATTGAAAATGGACTGCTTAATCCACTTATTACGAATCCAATTAATGTTAATGAAATTGTTTCATGAAGCCCTAAGAACTACGATGGTCCGACTAATAAAGCAGCTAATCCCTGCAGAGTTTATGTGCATATCACAACGCCTACAAGACTAAACTTATGAACAATATTGGGTGTAATAGGAGCTGTAGTCATAAATCCAACTTGCTAGATAGCATAAACCAAGCTAATAACTGATGGACTTAATCCATATCTTTGCTTAAGATGATCGGCTAGGATTGTATCTGTATAATAGAAGGTTTGTAGATTTATCACGATTGTAAGGCATGCAAAAAAACCTCTTTTTGTAAAAATTACATCGGAATAATAAATCTTGTCGAATTTTTTAACTATCACAGGGTTTTACTTTTCTTTGAAAATGGCATAATTTTCTCCGAAACTGATTTCTTCATCCTTAAGCTATCTAATCTCAAGATCTTTATCATTTAGTGATTGGTACTTAATCTCATTATCTTTCATTAGCTATTTATAAGCTTGCTACTGCTAATGCTCTAATAAACTTGAATTTATGCTTTGTCTGTCTGCATGATCAAAACTATTTTGGATTGTTGTATTGTTACTTATTTAATCAACAAATTTGATAAGCTTATCCTAGAATAATCCGAAAAATAAGAAGGTCATTCCTACATAATAACAATTAAAGGTTAAAAAGTGATACCGCAGAAAGAGAATGGACCCACGAATCCAACAGTGAATGATAAAAATGCTGAGATTACTAAACCAACAAATCCTCCCATTACTATAAAACTATCAAATTTATAAAATCAGACCTGCTCCTATCTCCATAGTAGATACCAATTTCCTTTGGATATGTGGAAATTAAATCAGCAATTCAGAGTAAGCTAAAATCAAGAGTTAATTTGATAATATGTGAGTACCCGCAGTTTAGTAAAGACCAGCTCCTGTTCCCTAAATGGCTCTGCCTGTAAATCCCACTATCAGAAACATCCGACTAGAATATCGTGTTTTAATATATGACGTATTATAATGGGCAAATCTTACACAGAACTTATATAGGAGAGAGAAATAAAGGACAAAGCAGCAATAAATTAGAGAATCATGGCAATTCTTACCATTATTCTTCTTCCAAATTTTCCTTATAGCTTTCCACCAAGTAGAGATGCAATGAACATCCAAATAGTGTATTGCCTAATTAAAATTAAATTTACTATGAACTCACAAAAACAAAGGTGTAAATACAACTTGAGCAACATTTCTTAAATGCATTTATTCAGGAAAGAAAGGGGCTAAAATAAGGAAGAATCCTTCCTTCATTCCATTTAGAAACACAAGACTCACAATAGTCAGTTTACTTTCAAAGGAGAGTATTACTTGTGGGTGGGGAGTATACTTTAAGTTATTCTGCTAATTAGTTTGTTGTTTTGGCAACTATCTCCTACTGCTATTAATTTAACTCATTTAATTAAAGATTATTTAATAGGAACTATGCTTTACAAATCAACTAGAATTTAAATTTTAAATTTTTCTGCCAAAACCATCCCTGAATTTTTATCTCATGGGGTTTTGGGGTTTTGGGGTTTTGGGG